GGGGGGGGGGGGGGGGGGGGGGGGGGGGGGGGGGGATTGTTTGCCTCCGAATGAGCCAATGGGACCCGCTGGGCGTCAGACTGACAGCCTGAGTGGACCAGCGCGGAGGCGCCGTTCCTGTTTCACAACCGCCTGGCAGCCAATGCGCGTCCAGCTCTGCCGGGAGCGCAGGGAAACGGCCAAATACGAATTTTCTCTCTCTTCCTGGAAGGTGAGAACGTTACCTGACTGCTGCTGGGAGAGTGGGAGTCACGGCGATGGCTTTGTCCCAGATCCTGGACGATTCCCCTCTGAGGTTTGCTCCAAAGCAGCCGGGAACCGACGCGCTTCTCCTGCAGGAGCTCTACAACGAGAGGCACCGGCTGGCCCTGGAGGAGCTGCTGTCCGGAGGGGTGGCGGACTTTCTGGACTTCCTCGGGAGGGAGAGGATCCCCAACTTTCTCTCGGACGAGGAGATCCAGCGGATCCGGGCCGCCGTGGTGCCCCCGCCGGGGGGCGCGTCCCTCCACGGGGAGGAGCAGGGCCAGGAGCAGTCGCTGGCCAGCTCGCTGGACTGCTCCTCGGTCACGTACTTCCCCGAGGTGTCCGACGTGGAGCCGCCGCTGCTGGAGAACGGCTGGCCCGGATTCACCGCCGGATCCTACCGCGGAGTCACCCGGGCCGTGGCGCACTTCCAGCCCAGCTACGGGGAGAGCATCTACAGCTGCAAGGAGGCGGCCAGACGCATGGTCAAGAGCGCCAGAGAGGTACTGACCACACGCTTAAACACCTCCTAGAATAAGAAAGAGAAGGGTGGGGAAAAAAAGCCAGTGCACGCTGTTTATTATTCCTCACGGTTATTGCACATTGCAGTAGCCTATAATTCTGAATGGTAATTCACAGGTTTGTGTCCTGTTAAAACAGTCGATCAAATTGGCTTTTTAAAGAAAGTCACTTCATGAAAAGTTAGTTTGTGCATGTGCCCTTTTGAAAAGAGGAAAACTGCCTCCAGACATCAGAGGCCAGATTTAGTCGACTCAGTGGAATGGTTGGTTTTAGGAGAGTGAATAACCACAAAATAAAATAAAATAAATCACCTGCCAAGATGTGCATTCATATTCTGACAGCCCTGCCTAGGTTTTTCGACAGAGACGTTTCTCCATAGAGGGGGTTTGCGGTTGCAACACGTCGGGCCTGTGGTGAACGTGTGCACCAGATGTGTCTCAACTTGCTTTGCTCCCCTTCCAGAGACTCTGCACGAATAATCATTAAACGCCACCTTTTCTTTTGGGATTTAGCCCTAGGTTGTGTTTTATTCATGAGCTGATCGTCTCTAGTGAAACCTCAACCCCGATGTTCTAACCCAAGTCCATCTGTGATTCCATTTGGAATCTTTCCTAAAGTCCAACCACAGCTGTTGAAGACTCTGGGTGTGCTGTGTGCACGTGTCTTCCAATTTAAAAAAAGAAAAAATGAGAAAAAAAAGAAAGCGTCCTTGCACAATCGTCCCAAAAAAAAAAACGACAGGGCTAAGCAGCATGTGGATAACACCAGTGTGAGGCAGTAAATCTGGGATAGGTAAACATCCGTGTCTAATCCCCGACACGCAGCCTTCACCACGGCGTGTGAGATTCCACTCCCCCTCATGGAGGAGAGAGATGGAGGAAAACCCCACGGCGCGCCCACTTTTCCTCCAGCAGAAAAAGTCATTTGTTTGCTGACCCAGCATTACGGGCGGATCGCCATGGTAACGTCCACACGGTCAATAGAAAGCTCATCAGCACACGCATAACGGCGGGCGTCTGACGGGGACTCGCGGTCGGGTTTGAATGAGGCCTTTTGTTTGGCAATAATGAAAACACAATCGTGTGCTCCATCTGCGGGAAGACGGCTGCAACAGGATTTTTTTTTTTTTAAATGATATCCACTCTGTAATTTTCCACTGCAGGTGATTGCCATAGTGACAGACTCCCTCACGGACCTGGATATCTTCAAGGATCTTCAGGAGGCCTGCTCGCACCGCCGGGTGCCCGTCTACATCCTGCTTGACCAGTCCAGCGCCCCGGCCTTCCTGAAGATGTGCCGGAGCGTGGGCGTCCGCCTGGACGACCTGCAGGTCAGTGTCCGGCCTCCACGCCGGCCGCAGCGTCCACGCCAAAAACGCATCGTTCTGAAACCCCGTGTGCCCCTTAATCCTTTCAGCAAATGAGAGTGCGGACCATAACCGGCACCAGTTACTACATGAGGTCCGGGGCGAGGATCACCGGGAAGGTTCACGAGAGGTTTATGCTCATCGATGGAAACCGAGTGGCCACCGGCTCCTACCGGTAAGAGCCCGCTGACCATTTTGGTGAACGTAAAAGGGGAAATGTGTCATTTGCTGGGTTTTGTGGGGTCACCGAATCTGATTCACAGCAAGTTGTTCAATCTCCTTTTTTGACGCAGGTTCAACTGGACCGATGGCAAACTGAACAGCAGCAACCTGATCGAGCTCTCCGGTCAGATAACCGAGAAGTTCGACGAGGAGTTCCGCGTCCTGTACGCCCAGTCTCTGCCCATTAACACCCGGGGGCCTCCCAGCGTGCGTAGCAGCGGGGTCTTTGACCACCTGGTCATTAAACACCCCGCCGCCTGTTCCCCTCTCTCGGTCAGGGACGGGCAGGCGCGGCTGGCCTGTCTGACCAGCACGCCCAACCGGAAGCCGCAAACGCCAGCGCGGGAGGCCTCGTGTCAGGGTCAGGGAAACGAGTCCTCTGCTGTGGACGGGGACTGGCCCGAGCAGCCGGAGGAGATCCTGGCCGGCTGCAGCCCCCTGCGTTTCCCCCCGGAGCAGGAGGTAGAGAAAGAGCCGCTGACCACAGCCCCCGCCGTCCGCCACGTCTCAACCCAGACCGGCCCGCCGGTGACCGACCCGCAGCCGGCGCCGGACGCCTCTCCGTCCACCGCCTCATCCCCCTCCCCCGCCCCGCCCACCCAAAGGGCTCCTGACGGCACTTTAAAGGACTCCTTCCACAAGCTGACCAAAGAGCGCCTGCACCGCTACTCGGCCATCCGCTCCAAGCTGGAACACATGGTGACCGCGCTGACCGAGAGGCGAGAGCTGGCCGACATCAGCAACGTGACTCAGGGGCTGGGCGCGGGCAGCCGGCAGAGGGTACACAAAGACTGTGTGCGGGAACCGAATCCCAGACTGCCTGTTGAAAGTGTGGGCACGGGCACATGGCCAAGAGCCAGATGTGCAAACTAGGTTGTCTTCAGGGATTTTAGCTGTGGAGGGTAGCATGGGTGGGGGGGCAGGGGGAGATCTCTTTTAAATAGATATCTTTTGGCTTAATACGGTAGAAATGTACAGCTCTATCCCTCCTTTGATTTCCTTCAGGGCTCACTTTCTTTTTTCATTTTTTCTTTTCGTCCCGTTTCCTAAACATATTGTGACATTTTTTTGACATTCTGCAGAGCGTTGGACCAAAGACAATAAACATTGCTTTTCCCCACGTTAGAATAATGTCATGATCGCGTGTGGTGAAGAGGAGTGGGAGGAATCTGCTGTAGTACGAGTGAAAATCTACTCAAGGGTTTGCTTGGTTTATTTCAGTCTATTGTACCCAAAGACATCAGTGGAGAGCAGCTGGGTCTGTCTGAGCCTTGAAAATAAAGCGGCATGTTGCTCTTTTACTACCTTGTTTCCACAATTGTATCGTTTCCCTGTTTGTGTTTGTTCTAATTGTAATGAAATCCTCCTAAAATGGAGAAAGCAAACCCTGCCCAGTTAGTTGCAGTTAGTTGAGAGACGGCATCTGTGGTTCTGCTGGTTATGCTACCATTTTTCTTTTTTTGTCCTGGGCAAATTTGGAGTTCAGTCACAGAGTGCATACAAATATATGGATAAGTGGTAAATCCACACATTTTAAAATTCAAGCAGATGGGATTTTTAATTTTTTTAAATAATTTTTTATATTAATTTCCATAAAGAAATGATAAAAAACAGGCTGAAATAGCTGGTCAGCTACGTCTAGACTAGTATTTCTGCTACAAGAAAATCTATCATCTAACACGCCAAAACATTGAAAAAATCATGCTCAGCATGCAGTTTGACTAATGGCTGTTCACTAGCAGAATGAACCACTTAACTGGGGACGATATTAGTCTCCACATTTCTACATTTGAGCACAAAGGTGCTGCTGAAACTATTAAAGCAGGACAGTGTCTCAGCTCTGCTGTGACGTGGGCTCAGAATGTCTTCGGATATCAATGCATTGTCAGCCTTAGCTTTATATGGCTAATGTTTAACTGGATATGTGCTGTGACTACTCTGTAACACGATCAGAAGGCAAGAAGAAGCGCATGAAGATGTTTAAATAAAGTTTTAGAGTGAAAAAGTTGCTTCTTTATTCAATCAAGATACTTTCGTAAAAAGTTTATGACGAAATTGAGCAAGTTCTTATTATTTTAATGGCAGAAACAGCTCCACAGACAAGCACGTGCAGTACTGAGGAGGAAGCTGCTCTTTATCTCCTGTGGAGCTGAGTCAGACCGGCTGTGACATGTTGTATTGTACATTAACCAGTACGAAGTAACTCCTTAAGCAGCGCTGGCAAAAAAAAAAAGGAGTCTTCTTCCCAGAAATGCTTCTGTATCTGGTTGATCAGAACATTGGATTGGAACAAATAAAAAGAAACTTTACAAGAAGTTATCTGTGAGATAAGTCACTCCCTTCAGATTCATCAACCTGCATTTTTGCTTTTCTATTCATTGAGCAACATTTTGTGTACACAAATATTTCATTTGTTACTCTTGATCTAATAAAATTAATAACTTTTTTTTTTTTTAAATCTGGCACAATATTCTGAGGTCTTCTTGTGGTGTATGACACAGGCTTTGATGAGAACATCTGGTGGTGTTAGGGTGGTGGTTTGTGTCTCAGTCCTGTCCCCAGCCTGTTTTGAGGGGGTTTGAGACTCAGTGAGTGATCCGCCCCACCCACACACACACACACACACACACACACACACACTCATCTGGTGAGATCAGCAGCTACCTTGCTCAGCTCCCTTTTGCAAAAAAATGAATAAATAAAAAATCCAGAAAGGGCCGGGTTTGAAAAGTGACTTTCTCTGAATAGAAATGTGGAATTCTGTCAGCCCGAAACGGGTTTGAGATGGATACACTGAGACCTTTTTCAGAAGTATGCTGGTAATGTAATATGAACACTCTGGGTGGCGAACATAGTGTTCAGTGTGTATGCAGAGGACAGCTGTTGTCCTGAAATCAAACTGTACAAAGAACAGAACATTTCAACTAGAGATCTTCAGTGAACAACATAAGGGTGGAACAATAATGTTAATCATTCAACTAGAAACTGGAATTACTCTCCAGAGGTGTCATCTCCATTAAGTAAGCCATTAACATAAGCTACTACCAAACAAATAAATAGGTAAATGTATAAAACTTAAATGATAAGTACCACTAGTGCTGAGAATTGGAAGTGACACATCTGTTTCTTCTGTCCTTTTTCTTGTGTTCCCAGGCTGAAAAGGTGGAGGAATGTTAAGAGATGATATAATTCCCAAGTCAGTATAAAAACCTTTTCTATGAAGGATGAGCTTTCAAACAAAAATGTACTCAAAATGCCACCTTTGTGATGCTTAGTAAGGCCAAACTCTTACTGAGGAAAACTCTATCCCAAGATAAAGAGTGTGAGGGAGCCAGAGAGAGGGGATTCTGTTGATGTCCCTGAACTTTGAATGATTTCCATCTACAGCATTGATGGATTTCAGAACATCATTTAGATGAGTAAGAGATCTAAGAACTACACTTATACAACAACTGAAATTAAGACTTATAGCCTTTTTTGTTCTGAAATAACAAAAAAAGAAGGTAATTTATCAGTTAGGTACCACCAAAGAACTACCAAAGGTCTAATGGTAGCTATTTGTGATCAAGTCACATGCTTTTAGGTCCTGTGGTTTTGCTGCACAAGACGTTCAGAAAAAGAAAATGAACCAAAACTATCACAAAAGGACTTCTGCTGACAAGACCCTTAATTAACCTCTGAGTCTGAGAATTTATTTTCCAGTCTCATTGTTTTTAATACAAGAGAGCTTTTAGGGATTATGCTGAAAGCACACATTACAGCACTTAAAGTCCAACTGCAGCAGTTATTAATTAGCTAATACGCATCTATGTTACACGGAATTGCACAGTTTCATGGATTTGCCAGCGAAGAAAAAAAATGTATGTCCTTAAAATGGATCCAGAATGAAATTACAGCGTTTTTGTCCTTTGAGAAAAAGACAATCTACAAATGTGCTCACAGACCTTCAGACATGTGTACATATGGACTGTCATCCAAGGCTCAAAAGGTAATTTTCCCCATGATTTGAAATGTAATATGCAAAAAGAGAAAGAAAAAAATTCCCTTGGCCATCCAAACAAGGGTAGAAGTCTTATTTTTAGACATTGAGAGATCTTATAGAAATGGTTCTACCATACAAGTGTTCTTTAAAAAGAAAAGTTGACTTATTAATGTCTAAATTATTCAGTGGAAAAAAAAACATGCATATTATTATGAACAGAATACAAATGTTATATCATTTTAAATTCCTGTATGCATTTGATATAATTAATTTGTACTTTAAAGAATTTTCTTTTCCAGTATCATAATTGATTTATGGGATACCAATTAAGGACAGCAACACACTAATACAAGACTATCTACATGTGATATATCTTTTGTTTGGATACTTGGATGAATTCATATCCCTAATTTGTAAAGTATATTTACATATGATCAATTCTCTATGTAGCTGACAATTTGTTTATCTAGCTTAGAAAGGTATTAATTTGATGTACTTAAAATTCAAAAACAGAGGAGAAAAGAATGTAGGTTTTTAGGGAATACATTGTTAGTTATAACTTAGGTTAAACCACCTTAAACTAGTCCTACGATAAACACAAATAAAATTGTCCTGAGGGACAATTAGTTTACTGCTTCAATAGTTCATGCACCTATTTTTGTTAAGGTCCACAAAGATTTGAGCTATTGCAAGTTAGTAAAACCTTTCCGCTTAATTTTGTATGAGAAAAGCTGGTAATGCATCTGAACTTCATTTATGTTTAATTCCATTAGAGACCATTATTCCACCAAAACGCAACTTAAATCATTAATCCAAAACAAAGATCAGTCGTACAAGTGTTCTCCATGCACAACACCCCTAATTTCATTGTTCAGTCTTAAAACGGCCTTTAAACTATTACATGGCAATAAGGTAAGCACAGCGGGGCTTCTTCACCCGGGCAAACACTTCAAAAGCCTCTGCATTCATTATGTAAAATGGCACAGCTGAGGGGAATTGATCTCCAAATAACCACAATGGTGGTAATATGCGAGAGAATGGTATTTGATTTTAATTGGCTTCTGCGAAGCAACCACTGGCTGTAATCAGGGAAGCAGTGGGCGATCAGCAACACAACGGCCGACACCCACGGAATTAGACTCAGGTCGATGAAGAACAGAGACACTCACACGATCCCCCCTCGCAAGGGACAATTAAAAAAAAACAACTAAACCTGCGATTCACATCGCTTTCCTTAATTAAAAGAGCCTCTCCTCAAGCCTGTGTAATGAGATCCAACTTAGCGTGAACAGTGGTTGTAACACTAGCTCCACTCAGCCACCAGAGAGAGCCCTGTCCTCAGTTAAAACCCGGGTTAGAACCAGTCCCTCTAACAGAGAAGCCTTGCCCCTGGATGTGGCAAAATGCTTATTGTTTTCCCCATGAGAAAGACAATGTTTCTTCACAAAGAATTTTTGACAAGTTTTTATGATTAAACCAACATTTTAGATTGGTTTGTGGATTTCTGTTGTATTCCAGTTGTTGTCCTGTCCAAAACTGTGCAATTTGGGTGGTATTTGGGTGAACAAAGCATAAACAGTGAGGAGAAAAACAGCCTTGGTCTGCTGTCCTCATGAGGTCACTTACAATCCCTGGAGAACTGTGGTGGCAGAACTTCCCCCGATGCATGCTGGGTAAAATCTGCTTGAATGTCAGCATGTCTGACGGCAGGTGTAACTTTATATCATACCAAACATTGTGTTAAGATGTAATCCGGTTACTTAGCCTGCAAACACTTTCATGTGTGGAGCGTTATGAGAGCGTTTCTTTAGGGAAATCCTGGGATTTTTAACATGTGAGAAAATCCACACCGAAAAGACAACGTGTGTTTTTAAAGTTTACAATTTTTCCTATTTGTTTTGGGGTTCGACGCATCTCTCCTGTGAGTTTT